TGGCTTAATCCTGCAGACATATTAAATATAATATAGATTATATTTTAACTTCAGGATGTTAAAGACTCGTTTACTTATGAAAATTCTGATTTAATTTGATTAATTTACCTTTAAAGGAGCAGTTTACATTTTTAAAGCAAAAATACTTTTACCAATTCTTCTTTTCTGTTGAGTTAAACAATATTTGGGTACAAATTCATCAAATATTGTTAAGAAATAAGAGGAAACATGTCCTTGCGTGTCTTTCATAATTTTCTCATCCACCTGTAACGTTTTTGTTCATCTAATCCTTCTCAGAAAGTTAGTTTTGAAAGTATGGAAGCGTAGCGGCTCAGACCTTTAGCTGCGATGTCCAGATGATTCTTTATCCTTCTCTCTCTCTCCTCCATCTGGTGAGCCAGCTGAGCGTTCTTCCATCCTGGAGGCCAGACGAAACCAAGCTACGCTTTAGTAAATCTGCTGCCCAAATTAAGCATCAACCGGTTCATTTCTGCAGCACTGACCCTTCTTCATGCTCTCAATAAGTCCGTCGCTCTGAGGCAGCGCTGCGGTCGGGTGTTTGACCCTCTCCGGGATGTTGAACCTCCGTCTGACTGCAGGATGCCTGAGCAGAGCCACTTGACCCAGGGAGAAGCAGTTGGAGGTGAGCCAGTAGGTGAACACCGCCTGGGAACAGATAATTTAACACACACACACAGAGTGTAAGCAGCAGAGCTTTATGGCTTCCTGGGGCATCAGGGATGAGTTCTGGGGTAAATCCACACCAACCGTGGGGAAGTTGATGGTGAGAGGCAGGATGATCAAAGGCATGATTCTGAAGACGGTCTTCATGGTTCTCAGGTTTGGGTTGTCGATACCAGACTCTGCTCCCAGCTGAAACATTTAAATCAGAGATTTAGGAAAACGTTGCTCTGATTCTGTTGACAGGACAGAAAAACTGAATCTGAGGAGCAGTAAAAGTTCATCTCACCTCCAGGATGAAGAACATGGTCCCGGTGACAGCGAAAGGAAGGATGTAAAACGGATCAGCTGCACTCAGGTCAGTGAACCAGAGGACGCCTCCCGTCTGTAAGCTGGGCACCGGCAGATACGCCATCTTCCTCAGGGCGATGAAGAACGAGATGAAAACTGGCGCCTGGCGGAGATCAACACAACTAGAGCTTTATTTATCAATAATAAGGAATTACTGACTCAAAACAAGCAGCTATATCTTTCAGAAAAAGCTACTTGTTAGTTTGTTTTGTCTTATTTCAAGTGTACTAAGGCATTTGCACTAGAAACTAGAAAATACTTAAGACTTTGTGTTTTTGCAGTGTGTCATACTTAGTAGGGTTGGAAATCTTGAGGTATTTAAATCGCAATTTGATTTCTTTTCTACATTAGACTAGAAATGAACAATCAGATAATCAAGTTTTGATTATTTTAAATCAGCCATCTCTGCATCTCAATGTATAAAAAAGCTATGTTTTACACCTCAACACTAACACTCTAAGCTTTCAGGAAGATACTTGAGTCAGACCTTAACTCAGCCTGCCATGTTATGCCCCATAAGGGGCTGAAATCTTAATATATCCTTCAAGATCACAAGGGAAGGTTCATGTTGACATAAACACTAAACTATAAATCCTGATGCACCAAAACAATATAAACTGACCTGGACCAGAGGAACCAGGAAGCCTCGTAGAGGATTGACGTCATGTTTCTTCTGGAACAGGTTCAGATCAGAGTACGCCTTGGCGACTGCGAAACAATCAATCGGCAGGTCAGAATGAGGGAGAGACGACTGAAGAGCAGAAAGACGGTGAGCACAGCAGAGAGTGAGGAGACGTACATTCGTATTTATTTCCGCTCTGCTTGGCCTCGTTCATTTTGTCAGTTAGCTTGGTCATCTCAGGCAGGACGTTGTTCAGTTTGGCCGCCTCTCTCTGACCCTTCACGATGACGGGAAACACGGCCACACGGGCCAGAACCGTTCCTGGAACCAACAATAAAACAACATATAAACAGAAAAACACACATTGTCGGATGAGGACTTCAGAACAGATAACTTAAATATTCTGAAAACAGAACTCAATATTCAGAAAGGTTCTTTTGCTCACCGACGACGATCGCGCCCCACCAGGGCAGGCCCAGGTCCATGTGGATGAACTCCAGCAGACTCTGGATCAGACCCACCGGAGTGTGAGCGGCCAGGCCCAGCTCCGCCAGCCTGGGCTCTGCAGCCACGGCCTGCAGGATGTCTGCTGCGACCGGAGCGGCGTCGGCCGCCTGCTGCGCCAGAACAGGCAAGGCGTCGGCAGGCAGGGAGGCAGAGCTGTCCGCTACAGAGGCGGCCGCAGAAACACCTTCAGCTGGGATCTGGAGGTGGGAGTTATGAAGAGTTAGGATGGAAATCCAGATGAAAGATAAGAGAGAGCTGCTTTATTATTCAGTGACCTGCTGGGAGGCTGTCTGTGTGAGGGCGGGGGCCGGGTCAGCAGGGAGGGAGGGTGCAGAGGACTGCAGGACAGCAGCTGATGTCGACACATCAACGGGTTGGATCTGGAGGAAACCACCAGAAATGTAACTTATCTGTGACTGAACAGAGTTTATTTTAAGACTAAAATATGAATAAAAAATTAACAATTGTGTAGCAGGAGAGAGTTCGACATAGAAATGTGAGATTTTTATTATCAAACATTTTTAAAATCTTAAAAGAAGTGGTTGCTATGGAAACCTGGAGACTCCATGATGCCGCTCTTAGCTGCAGTTCCAAACTTTTTAACTATTGAAGCCAGTTACAGCAACAGTTTTATTAAACATGAAGGTAATCAATGCCACTTTAACTGGCTACAATATGTTTTTAAATATTTACTAACACGTGTTAACTGACCTGTGAGCTGTTCTGTCTGACTGCCACAGCGCTGACCCAGACGAACTTTCCACGGTGCCTGCGGCTGATCTGAGACCTGCTGAAAGGACTGCTGCAGCCGAACAGTGTGTGGAGGCTGGAGGTCTGGAGCAACAGCTGTACGGACAGAAACAAGAGATTCAGTACAAAATGGAAGGAAGGTTTTCATCTAATTCTGCTAGAAGTTAATTTAAAGTTAAAAATAAGTTACGTACATCAATTTATACTTTATGTCTGTACGCTAAAACGAAGTCAAATTCCTGGTTTGTGTGCACTATTTTGGTCAACAAAGCAATTCTGACACTGAAAATCTACGGATAATGTCTGAAGCTACCCTGAAAGTGCGATAAAATCATTTAAATAAGGTTTATAAACCTTACAACAACGAAGTTTGGAATAACAAAGTGGAAAATCCATTATTTACAGCAGTTAATCGACTTTTATTGACGTCTCTGCAGACTCTGTCAAAGTCACACTCATAACGCAGTGAGGAGGCTAACCGGCTAGCAAGCTAGCCGCTGAAAGCTGTTGGTTCTGCCTCTGATTTAGAAGCAGGAACAGAACTTCTCCAGCAGAACTGTGAACTGAACATACTTGGTTCTGAATGCTTGGAAGAACGGGACTGCCCCGGCTCGGTTTCCCGGTCTGCCTCAGGAAACATCTTGCTAAGCAGCTCGGAGTCACCCCGCTCCTGAAGGCAGCCATGTTGGGAGGGAGGAGATACTGCTACGGAACGTGGGAAGGGACAACCTGCCAAACCGCGAACGTGTTTTTCTATGCGTAAGAAGTGCAACGTTTTAATTATTACAGAGTGACACATTTTGACTACATTCGTACTTTTTAGAAACCTCATTTATCATAAACATAATAAATGTCTAGTCGCGTTGTTACACATTGAGCCATACTGGGACACAATATCTGGGCCAAAGTTCCGCTCCAAATTTGTAATTTATTTATTTTTATTATTAATAACTACATCCCTAAAAATCATTATGCTGACGTACCAAATCAACAAATAAATGTTTTAAATTAAAAGTACATTTTAACCGTTCCTTTAACTTGCTGGTGGTTGTTATGTGCGTAGCTCCAAATTTACTTTCACTTCAAAATTGATATGACGTCAACAGGGTTTGTTGTTGTTGTTCTTTGTTTGCGTGACTATGCAATAACTCACCTGCTGGGTTGATTATGGACTGAATTTGCATGCAGTTGGTCAGTGAATAAGGTAAATGCCGCTGGGGCACCTAGGCATGCTGGGGCCCACCAGCATGCCTAGGTGGGCCCCATGTAGGGAAAAGGAGGGCATGCCATATGGGTCCCATATGGGTTTGTCCGCTGGTTCCACGATGGCCCCACATGGGTTTGCCCATGTAGGGTCACAGCCCACTTGGGTCCTACTTGGGCCCTATATGGTGGTGGCCCACATGGGTTTGTCCATTTAGTGCCCATGTAGGGCCCATGTGGGCTGTGGCCCTACATGGGCAAACCCATGTGGGGCCATTTTGGAACCCGCGGACAAACCCATATGCGACCCATATATCAGCCCTCCTTTTCCCCACATGGGGCCCACCTAGGCATGCTGGCTGGTAAATAGCTCATTCAAATAAACTTGCTTGCATTTCCTATATGTTTTCTATTCGTTTTCTTTTTAGAAATAGTAAATTAATCTTGTGACTTAATGAGACTTTGGTAACTGGCTTAGGGGAATCCACACCCTTTTCTTCTGAAAGAGATAACTCCTCCTGCCTCTCCCTCTGGTGTTCAGATCACCTCTCCAGCAAATCTGGTGTTTTAGGGGCATTTTTGACTGTGGGAAATCCCCGCTTTGCATACTTTAACTTTCATTTTCGGTTAGAAGCTATTTATTTGAATTAATAAGACACAGAGAAAAGATGTTGAATTGAAGCACAGAGCAGCAATGTACAATGCTTGATGTCAAACATTCCAATCTGTCCTGAACTATTTAATTTCCGTGATTGACGTAATAAAATGTATGTTAAGAGGCGGTATTGTTTTTCTGACTGCATGTAACATTTTGCACTTTATTCTTCCGACTTTGAATATATATATATAAACCCAAAACAAAACATAAAAAAGTTAAAGATAGAGAGTCGTTGGCGCAAACTCAGATCATGACCTGTTTAGTCGGAGCTGACGTCTGAGTCAAAGTGCGTCTCTGTTTGGGTTGTGAACGTGTCGCGTCCAGAAAGGAAAGATGTCCATCGATCCGTCTCCATATACAGCGTTGGACAGGTAAACCGCGTTTTTATTCAGTCACAGAAACCCCGAGGTGTATTTTAATTTGTAGGAGGCTTTTTTTTATGCTGAATGTGCTCAAGTCAAGGCTGGTGCGTTCAAACTGCTACGTAAAGACACAGTTTAACTTTTTTTTTTTCTCCGTTTTTATTGAGGGCTAATTGCACATGAAAAAGCGGGATACCAAGCAGTCTGTGCTCCAGAGAAGGAAAGCGAAAGTTTTTACTTCATTTGTATGATTTCGCTTCAGGTCTTTGCTGCGAAAGAAAATGGGCTCATCTGCATCGAAGGAGAAGTGCTACGATCCCAAAGACTCGACGCTGAAATTTGTCGATGGAGATGATGATATGGACTGTAAGTAGGCTGCTGCTGCTCTTCACTTGTTTTAGCTAATCTGTGGATTAATGCTGGAAATCCACTCTACAATGCCTCTACTGAGTGACTTTGTTTGATTGTCTATAGTTTTGTGCGAAGGCTTTAAATCGCGAAGAGCGCAGATGTCCTGCGGTCACACGGTGACCCCGATGTCTCTCACTAAATGGTGTCTGCAGCAGCTGGAAGAGGTAAAAAAAGAAAAACAAAAACAAAACCACAAATAATAGGGAATTTGTATTCAGTTTTATGTAACAGTCACAGCCTGTAGGGGCATAAACAAAACCTGGAGGGCATTTACAAAACAACATACAGTCAACACTTTGCTACCCACCACCCATTAAATTGTCCAAGTTAATTAATTCCCCCCCCCCTTTTTAACAACTAGTATATTCTTTTCTCTTTTTTAAGGAGATTCTTGCAGTTAGTATGAAACACTATGTTCAAACAGTGTTATATCCAAGCACAGTTGTAGAAAATTGAGTGGGAGGAAAACTGTTAGATAAAAGTGCAAAAGCAACAGGTGTAAGCACAGCTTTTCTTATTTTATTTTTTTATTGTTTCTCTTCTATACAATTCCTATTGCCTAAACTGAATCCCGTATTTTAATTAGATGTGCGTCATAGTTGTAAAAGTTAGAATAAGGACAATAAATGATTGAAAACATTCTTTGTTTTAATTAATTCATATAATCAGAGGCAGTATTGTGCCTTGGTTCCCTACAGTTTTTAATACCCATTAAAAAGATGTTAAACTTCAAAAATATTTACTTTCTGCCAGCATATGTATTTGTGAAAGTGTGTTATCAATTTAAGATCCATTTTTGAAACTCACTGATGTCAGTATGTTGATTTTGTTGCCATCCCTTCCTCCATGGCTTTCTGCACACATTTATTTTGATATTGATTTGATATGATATTGATGTCAACATGTCCTTTGAAAATTTTATGTGGACGCCCAGGCCTGTCGGGGGACATAAGTACCTTCATAGTTTGCTTGTATCTCAGGCCGGCCTTTAGTCTGCTGACTGATGAATCTTTTCTCATTGTTTTAAAGGGAAAAAGCAAGTTTTCGTGTGGTTCCTGTAAAGCTGCGTGGCCTTTTGAGGAGGTCTGCAAGATGGCTCTCCTGACCCCTGAAGAAAAGAAGAACTTTGAGAAAATGATGAAGATCAATTCCGCTGTTAGCAGAAAAGTATGTCTTCTCTCCCTTACTTTGAGGTTTATTTGTTAAAAATACTTTAGTCGACAATTTATTCTACATCTCCATCTTCCTCCTCCAGTGTCCTGGATGCAAGTCTTTTGTTGTTAAACAAGATGAACTTAACCTTTGCGTCAGCTGCACAGCCTGCACAGAGAAGAAAGGACGCCCGTATGAATTCTGCTGGCAGTGTCAGAGGAAGTGGAAAGGTCCGAAGCCGCGTTCGGACCGCTGTGAGAACGACGGCTGCAGCAACACGGCACTGCAAACCCTGAGGACCTGCCCAGAAATCGTCTTCGACACGGTGTGGGGAATCAGCGGGTGTCCCTCCATCCGGGCCTGCCCCACCTGCGGCTCACTGCTGGAGCACAAGCGAAACCACTGCAAACACCTCTACTGCGCTCGATGCGAGGTCAAGTTCTGCTTTGTGTGTCTGAAGACTTTTGCTGAATGTTCGAAAACAAGCCACATATCAGGGCCGTGCTCCAGCGGCGTCGCTCCCAGACAGACGGAGATCCCCGTGTGGAGAAAAACCTAACGCTTCGCCCACAGAGTCCAGCACTTCCGTTTGCCTGGGATTAATCAGCGCCAATGTGGCCAAAGGTATTTAAAGAACCGTCTCTTGGAGACAGACAGTATTTCTGCTCAGGAATGTCAGAACGTTGGAAATATTGAGCAGAAACAATTTAAAAGATAAAACCAAAACCTGGAATCGTTTGTTTCAGAATCACCATGGATTCATGATTAATACTTTTGTAAGTATTAATACTTGCAACAGTATTAGTGTTCTACAAATCTTTCCACTTTTGTCACTTCCACAGTCACTGCAATGTGGTTTCGTGGCGTTTTATGTCATAAACCAACAAAATGTACCCATAAATGTGGTGTGGAAGAGAAATGATAAATGATTTACAGTCTTTTTTTTATTATTCAAACAAAACAGAACTGTACAACGTTAACGTTTTGTTTCTTCTCTATAAGTTTGCAAATTAATGGAATTTATTTTCGTGCTTTTTTACACGTCCAAAATATTACGCAATAAATTATTTAATTATTGTTATGCTTCCTGATTTCTTTTTGTCATTAAATTGGCAGAAAATGTGAAACTTTGACACTTTTCTAAACCTTATAAACTGCCTCCTCAATAATTTGACCTACATTTCTCACACGCTTCCTTCATCTTCAAAAAAAACAAAAAACAAATCTTTAGATATATTATTTATGACAGTTAAGAATAATAAAGGACTTTTTAGGCTTCCTTGTGGCGTTCCATTTTCTACTGACACTACTTTTTCCTCCTAATGGCCTTTAGGCAGCTTTCCACATCCAAAGATTTTATTATACATAAAATAAAAACTTGACCAACTCACTAAAGAAGGCTTTATAAAATATTTCTTTGGACTGAAGCTTCACCCCATCTTCTGCACCACATTTTCTCAGTTTGCTCCAAAAATATTGACTTTTTTTTATTACTCCACTCAGTTGCAATTTTTTTTTTACTGGAGTGTGTTATTTTGTAATAAAAATGTGATATTTTTCTTAAGCTGTAAATTACTGTAAAGTCTGTTACTTTTACTTTCTGTTTTTATATTTTTATGTTTCGACTTGCCTGTGATGTTACTGCTGGTAGCTGGTAGACTGGAAATCCCCTCTATTCTATTCTATTCTATTCTATTCTATTCTATTCTATTCTATTCTAAATATATGTAGTCACAAAATTCTAGAAACTTTTTAGTCAATGTTTCTAGTTGTATCCTTTTGCCCTTCTCTATGCTGAAAACATTCTGTTGAGAGACATTAAATGAATGATAAAATAAATCCAAACTACAGTTATAAATGTAGGCAAATTAATCTACAAATAAATTAAACTAGGTAAGAAAATTAAAACATACATAATAAGCAATAATAGTTGAAACACAGTAAATTAACTGAATAAATATAGTAAAATAAGGAAAATATAGAAACTTTTTATTAGATCTTTCCTTATTCATGTCTTCTTCTGTTACTAAGCTTTAGATCTAAAGCTTAGTAACACATTTATTTATGTAATAAATGTTACAAGAAAACATGAGTTTTCACCTGGTGTGAGGGAACAGATCAGGCTTCATCACATGTTTATAGCTTGCTCAGGTCTTCAGACTGATAAGAATGGTGTAAAACAAGGATGTGAACTATTTGCGTTATTTACAATAAAACTTTATACAATAGCTACAGCTTGAAACATACAAACAACTTTACAATGAACTGATTTTATACAAAAAGTGTAATCAGCAAAGTTTAGATATTGTATTCAGTGCATCAAAAAAATTGATTTGTTGCTTCTGGGAAATGGCAAGTTGGTTCCAAAGAGGAATCAGAAACACGAGTCATAAAGTGCAGAACACAATAAAGACTGGATCTTTGATGTGCTATAAATAGTCCTGGGTTTCCCCGCTGTCCTCTTCCTTGTCGAGCATCGCTGTCCACTCCCGTCTGCAGGTGTCTCTGTCCTCCGTCTCTCAGCCGCCGCTCACCTTCTTCACCATCTGGACTTTGCTGTTGGCCTTGACGTTATAGTCAGACAGGGAAGCAGAGTCATTGTCCAGAGGTTTGTCCTCCACGATCAGCTGGATGTTCCCCACAGAGGAAGCTGCAGAAATGTCAACAAGAGCTCGATTAGTTGATCAGGGGAATCTAACAGGAGATACACTTGAAGCTTCACTGCACTTTTGCACACAAAAATATGCATATTGTGTGTAAATGTTAAAACGAAATTAGTAATCAGGAATCCCTTACACATTTCAAGTAAATTGTGTTTCAGTCTGGATATGCATCTAAGCCATTCAATAATAACGTTTTCCAAATCTTACAAGTTTCCAGTAGAGTATTTACCTGATTTGGGGAAAGTCTTCACCACGTATTTCTTCAGCTCGAGGACGGTCATCTGCCCCAGAGGACCTTTAGGGTTCAGGTAGCTGACCTCTCCATAGTTGGAGTAAATGGCGATCTGGTCTGTCCTACACATGTTGGCTTTGTCTCAGCTGCTGCTGCTCGATGCTTCGTTTGCTGTGACTCATCTGAACGCTCAGCTGTTAAATAACAAGTGGGCTGTCTTATTCTAATTCAAGGCAGCCTCTCAAAAAAGCAAAGTGAAACCAAAATGTGCGGGATTTCCAGAGTTTTAGTGTTTTGTTTTTTTCTAAACATATGACCTTATTTGAATCTTGTGGCTTTTATGCATCTTGTAAAGAGGATTTTGTTTTTAACTAGTTGAGAAATATTTTCAAAATTTATTTTCTTCAGGTGTTTATCTGTTAATATTCTGTTCATCTTATCAGAGCATTTAGATAAACATCCAGCGCAGCAGAATCCAGAGACACAACTGGAGGACCCTACACAGAAATAGCACAGAAAGTGAGGAAAGAACATATAAATGTAAAACTGAATAGCGTAAAATATACAAATATCTATTTAAAAATGAATAAATTAACAGAAATATAAAGGGATGGATTGATCCACTCACAATAATTCATTAATTTTCTTTCAAAGTTAGCTTTCAGTCACACTTCAAATAAGTCTTTATTTCTTTCATATTCTTCAAGTTTATTTAATCCTGATGTTTTTATAATACAGCCACGTGTAGTGAACCAAAGTTAAATTTTATTCGTTCTTTTGATATTATTATAACATCTCATATTAAAATGACTCATGAATGAATCTCTGCACTGACAGGTATTCATGTTTTTTCTTTAGTTTTTATTTCTGAGATCTTTAGTTCTCCTTTAGGCGGATTTTTTCATACTAACTGCAAGTTCTCTTCAACTTTTTTAGTGTATTTAATTAATATGATCTATTTTGTGATCGTTATAAGTTGTCTCTGTCTTCTATAACCCTTCTTCTAAACAGAATAACAAAGGATACAAATAATTTTTATGAACATGCAAGCAAAGCGAGCAGATGAAACAAAATGGCATTCATTAAGTTGTCAGAAACATAAAGGATGTTGGGTTTAAAAAGCACTATATGGGTTATTTTCCTGACCCAGTTTTATATCAAATATGGGACGCTCCAGCCTTTATTTGACTGCAAACAAGGGTTGAGTTGTGTGTTTGACTTTGCATGTTGAGTCAAGTTTCCAACCCCAGGATGTGGGTTAGAGTGGCTATAATGTAACTCGACCAATAAATATGTTAGAACAGAATAGCATGTAATCTGGATTAAGCGAGTTGGGCTACAACGAATCCTTTTATTATGCAGTTCAATTCTGTATTGAAATGATCAGATAAAAAAAAGACATTAAACCTCAATATAAGGGGCTTATGTTGAAAGATGCTGTACTTCTCATATTTCTTGAAGAAGTTTCACCTTTTATGCAGATATGAGATGAAACGTATATTGCAAATACTAAGAAAAAAGAATATTTTTGAACAAAGTGCATGTAAAACTTTCCATTATTATTATTATTATTATTATTATTATTATTATTATTATTATTATTATTATTATTATTATTATTATTATTATTATTATTAACAATAATAATATAATAATAATAATTATTATTATATAATTAATTATTATTATTATTAATATTATAATTAATAATTATTATTATTATTATTATTATTATTAATAATAATAATAATAATAATAATAATAATAATAATAATAATAATAATTTAAATCTGCCCTAAACACCTTGAATGTTATAAGTTGGAAATTCACAAAGAAGAAAATTCCCCAAGTTGGAAAAAGTTCAAAAGTAAAAACTATCTGGAAGACAATACTTCCTTACAGGTAAGAAAATGCTAAATTTGGCATAAGCAGCCTGCTTTACTTCCTCTGACATGTATTTCCTTATTGTAATTGTCTTCATTTGGCGCCAACCAAACGATTACTGGAAACTACCTAACTCACCTGGCTTGGTTGTTGTGTAACCATAATGGTTTCTGTTTGCTTGTCGGATCATATCTGATGCTTCTAGAGTGAGAGCAATAGAAACCAACAGCCATAATTAGACCTGTTAAGCATATCATCATTATTTAATCATGTAGCTTCCTTCAGTTGCCAGGAGAAACTTAAGAGATAAAAGATTAGAAATTTATGGTGATTTCCCTGAAGGTGGTGTGATATGCAGGATTGGTGTTTACCGTCATGGATAAGAAATGTTAATGGAAAATATTAGTCTGAAAGTTCTGCAGATACATTTTACAACACAAAATATCCCAAAGTGTAAAGGTACAATGTTTTATCTAATTGCCAAAGGTCACCCTTAATATTTTGTATTCAATCCTCTGGGACTACAAATATTTTATTTCATGGGTTTAGTCGGTTTGAATCAGTTCATACTGTGTCAATTCACAACACAAGACACTAAATAAAAATTCAGCTCAAATCAAAATCAGTTGAATCACACAGACAAATTCCAGTCAAGTGCAAACATTACAAGAACTGGTGTACCACAGAACATCAAGCTTACAGCATCACCACACTGCAAAACTTGTTGCCACACACATAGACACCAGCTCTAAAGACGACTGCTACAATCAGTCAGTGACAGGTTCAGTAAAAGTAAGATTGCCTACATCTGAGGTGGCTGTTTAAGTTAAAACATTTTTCTGTTTACAGTTATGAACCAAACTTTGTTTTAAGTGCTGAATATAAACAGCACTTCTTCTTCTGCAGCGACTGCAGGAAACCTGTCAGAACAGTTTGATGTTCTGAATTGTAATTATGTAAAACCAACTTATCTGAATGTTTGCAGTGTTTTATTAATAGATTATAACAGCATTTATTGTCTAAGAATATATTTAGCTGAATAAAATATTCCCTGAATGTTAGCTGTTTTAGTTGACAGTTTTTTAATCTTTTGTTTTATCATTTATTGTGTTCAGGTTTTCAGTTTATTGTAAATGAAAACTTGTATGAATATGTGTTCTCGTCTCAACACCAAAGAATGTGGTCTGTTGTGTTTGAAGTTAGGAAACCTGTAGCTGTGAAAGGACAGGATTCATAGAAAACAATAAACAGACATATTTAACGTGGCTAAAATATTGAAGTCAAACAGAAATAATCACACAAGGTAATAACTCATTTTTCGTATTTCCACTGGTTTACTTAAACAATAATGGTCCACAAAAGGTCCGACTTGCAGAAACCCTCAGTTTTACTGACCACTGGGAGGCGCTGTTGCTCTTTGAGTCTGAAAGTCTTCATGATAACAGTGACTATGTTTCCTGTTTACAGAGTAATACAGAATGTATCAGGGAATCCAAGAACACGAGGATGAAATAATGAACCATAACTCAATCCTCTGTGCTCCTATGATCTCTACTGTTGTTCAGAATCTACTGTGAGATGATAAACTTAATTGTTATATTTATTTCTGATGCATTTCACTCACTAGAAATTGTGCTACTGTTTGAAGTCCTGTGCAGCTGGATTTCTTTAAAGCTCAGTGGTAATTACTGAAAGGCAGCTTTTCCTTCCAGACAAGACAATAGCACAAACAGTAAGAGTTAGAATCTCTTTTTATTTCATGTAATACATTTCCTCATTGTAATTGTCCTTGTTTGGCACCACCAGATAAGAGCTGGAAACTACCTAACTTCAGTCTTCAATGTGTGAGAGGTTTCTGTTTGCCTTGTGGGTCATGTTACGTAGCTCCACCTATTTTATCTCAGGGTGTAAAAGTGCACTCAAACTCCTAGGTAACAAACCCACATTTATAAGACGGGCAATAGATACCAAAAAAAAGCTAATAAAAGCACTTTGTGCATAGTATCACTCTTTAGACATACACTGCCTGTAACTTACCAGTGCAAAACTGATAGTAAAAAAATATAAATGTTAGAAAAAAAATTACGTGACACAATGAATGTGTTTATTGCATATTCACCAATTTCGCCTAGGTCAGGACATATGACCCAAGGATGGAAAAGACAAGTCTGAAAATTCTGCAAGTTTTACAACAAAACCAACACAAGCTGAGCTTTTGTTTGTTGAAAAATGTAAATATATTGGAATATGTTTGACTCAAATCTGACTTTTAAAAATCATGTTAAGCAAATGTCATAAAATTCAGTTTAGCAAACTCGCACCATATAAGATTTTTTTCTCACCATACAGTCAGCTAGAATTAGATGCATGCAATGATTTTTTTTTCTCATATAACATACAGCTATACAACCTGGACACATACAACTGCAAGTAACAAAAAAACTCATCATGTCTCTTTAAAAGAAAAACAAAAGCCTTTGACAAGAAACTATTTCATTTTCATTTCTGTAAAATCATTAGTAAGCATAATATTTTATCCCTCGATTCTTAATATATTATGATGACTGACTTACTTTTAAAGTTTTGAATGGGCCTGTCCTGCCACCATTAGATGATTTAATTCATAAAAGGAATAATAAAATAAAAACCAGAGCACAAACCAAAGGAGACTGTAACATCCTGAGGCGCAGAACACAGTTTATCCAGAAGGTGGCGCTTATTAGAGGCGCACATTCGTGGAACAGAATATATCAGAGTGAAAACCAAAAGCAAACCAGTTATGTACCCATTTATAATGTCTTCCACTGCTTATAACGGAAGTTTTTGTATCCTGTGTTTCTGTCGGCTGGTTAGTTATTTCTTATTTTGCTGATGTTATTTTTTTAAACTTCTTTCAGTAGAACTATGTGTACTCAGTTCTGTCCTGTGAATTATGTAGGAAGGTGTTTTGCTTTTTCTGTTTACTTGTCCTAGAGCAAAGGATGGAATTTAGCTATTGTGTTAATTCCTGCATATTTACACTGCCTTGAACTGTGGTAATGTGTAGTGTTTGAATTAATTAAATTAAATTAATAGATTTTGATTAAATGTTGTTTTTTTTTGCTATAACTAGCTACAACTAGCTAGCTAGGATTCTGCAGTGTTTTCACTTTTGTCCTGAATCCTACATTCATTAAAACAGTGGTTCTGAGAATGGAAGCATGTCTAAGATGGACCCAGTATTTTAAATTATGTTGGAAGACAGCAAGGCTCTTATAAACTTCTCATATATTTAAGTATTTTAATTGTTATTACATTACTGTGCTTTTGTATGATAGTCCATCACAACACAGTGTATAACTGTGAAATTGAGGAGAAATTACATCTACATACTGGATTTTCATGATAAAAATCTGGAAACTGTGCTGGAGATTCAACATAATATGTGAAAACAGGGAATTGTTTTCACATGCAATTAGCATGTTAAGCTGCATACATTTGTAGTTAGAGTCCAATTTATATTACAAAAGATTATTTCATAACTTTATTGAAAGTTAGTTTTATTATTTTCCAGCCAGTTCATCATTACCTCCCATGTGCAGAGTTCTCAACCAATCCAGTCCGCTCTTTGTCCGGTCTCCTGACTGGAATCGTCCAGAGGTGGAACATTTCCATTATTATTTCCACATCTTTGCAAATCTGAATTCTTTCCTGATTTTCCAGGTCAGAGTGTCATAGTACATGAGTCCTTTTGATAAAAACGTGCCTTACTGCAAAGCAGCCAAATAACATGGCTGCTTTAATAACAAATATAGCATAATTATTATTTGGCTGCCTTAATAGTGTGAGATTTATTACACTGGACCTGGAGATATCAGACAGAATCTTCTGTGGGTGATCCAGGATATTTATAGATGCAGTTTTAAAATATATAAGTACTGTAAATAAGCTCTTTTTGCGGTACATCTTTTTAAATGAACTTCTCCAGGTTCTTTAGCTTCTGTGTGCTACACTTTTGCAACACATTATTTGCAAATGATCAACTCAGAGATCTAATGGGTTCAAATTAACAACTAGGCCCACCCTAAAATGATAAAACCACAGATAAATACACAAATTGCTGTTTGGATAAACCTAGTGGAAAATTATTTGGAAAGCAATTCCAGCAAAAAAAATGAATAAGAAACGTATCTTGAAAATATTTGGTTGATAATTCAAGTTTATTACAGGAAATCAGAAAACTAAAAATTCTAATTAAAACTTAAAATCAATGCAAACCTTTACATTTTGCAATTCACGGCATTTAATCACATATTGAATTATTATCTAATAATAAACAAAAAAATTCCTAATACAACAATATAATCTATGCAACAATCCTTGCTTTTCTGTACAACAGTGCTGTCCTTATACACATAATATGTCACTCATTCAAAAAGAAACAAACTTCCACGAGCACATCCATCAAGTGATATAAAAAAGCAAATGACAACACATTTATATTTTTCTTAAATTCTTCCTTTAATTGTCTTCATATGTATTCTTCACAGATGTTAATTAAGATGAATACAAATGTTGCACAACTAGGCTATTTTTATCAATCACCAGACACATGCTTATATTTCTAGAAGTTAGTCCCACCATGCATGCACCTGTAGTGCTGCTTGTACCATCACCATGACACTAGTCAACAACAGAGGAGAAGAAGAAAGAAAAAAGACCGAGTTGTAAAATTCTGCTTCTATTTAAAGCAGAACTCACAAATACACTCAAGGGGGATGGGGGGTGTATTTGTGAGTTCATATTTACCTGATGTGAGCATCAGGTAAATATGTTACACCAGTTAAATTGAGAAGTACATAAATAGCCAACCACTCAATATGAAATTTTGCTGAGTTTTAGCAACAATGATTTATTACAAAACCCACAAATTGAGAAAATAATAATAGTTATCCTGATAAATAAATCAGTAACGCAAAATCCCTCAAAAATAAGTTTAGGTGAGATTTAATTCACTCAGTTCATTTCAGTAAAGAAACCCAAATGGTTAAATGTCCAAATATTTCCGATCCTTTTTAATGCGAATTTTGTCCTAAAAGAGTTCCATATCCTGGGAGAATTTTTCCGTGTTAATCCAAAGTCCCAATCCAAACAAAAAATCCAAAGCATCGAAGATAAATGATACATTTACTCTTCAATGTATTTATCCAGGAAAAAAAACAAAACAAAAAAAAACATAGTGGTTATGTTACACAGTGATGAAGCACCAAGAAAAAGTGGAGCTTAAACTGACCCTGAACATGAAATGCATATAGTGATGTAAACAAACTCTGATGGGATATCATGATCCAATCACAATGATGCATTTATTGGTCATTCTATTGAAAATAAATAAATAAACCAAACAGATGCCGTTATCACATCAGAGTCCGTCTTTGAATAACACATGTAAATCTGAACCCCTTTCAATAAAAACACAACCCAAATGCCTCAGAATCTAAGTTATACAATGTCAAAATGTTGCTGGTTCAACATTCAGTAGTTTATCAAATTCATTTGACCACATTGTTTCCAGTGCCTCTTATAATGTCTCTGAATCAAATATACACACGTAATTTTTTTCTTCAGAGCACTGTTGAAAACTTTGCATGCCCATATTTCCAAACCCAGCTTCACGTTTATTACATTGTTTACACAGTGAACGTGAATAACAGTGAAAACAAATGTTTTATTTTTTGTCGCCTTTGCATGAAAAAGTGATTTTTCTCTCAATTGTAAGTTGAGGCAACAAACAAGCTTTTTAGTGAAGTCAGTTTATCGAACAACGAAAATGGCTTTTATTGTGTCGTTTTGCAGATAATCACAGAACAATTGATCCTATTTGGCCTTATAATATTGAGCTGTTATAGACAGAAACAATGAGACAAGAATTACCAAACCAGAAGGCTGTATTTACAACAAACATCTGAAACAAAATCTCAGTCTAGGTTTTGTTTTCTATGCTTGCACCTCCAGAATGGTTCCCAGTAAGCTAAACCACCAGAGTTCTGCTGACCTCATAAACATTTTATTCTGATTCATGATTTGCACATTTGTTGGTCGAAATGGGTAAACAAGACATAGCTGATCTCTTTTTATTTTTTCTTCTGTGTGTGTTGATTCATTTTACGTTATCAATACGGCCACTTGGTTTTAAGAAACCTTCTTCTTTTTAAAGAATCATCTGTCCTAGCCACCTCAAGCCATGTATTAGGGAATTCTTTCAGTGAGGAAAGATTTGAATGTTTTATTTTTCTAAGATTTTTATGTTGTCTTCTGTTTGACCTGGTTGTGTGTTTTCGTTCAACCAAAGTCCGATGTCTTTGTTCTTCAGTTATGTGCTGTTCTGTATTATTTTCTTCCTTCCGTTTAATGAAACCCTGTGAGATTGTTCTTGTCATAATTTTATTACCAGTACTGCTGCCACTTACTTCTTCGATTACTTTATATTGAAGAAATCTATGCTGCCCATCTGCAGAACTCTTAACTCCTTTTTTTGTATTTGCTTGATAATCTCCCTGGCTTGTTTTTCTCTCCCTGTCTGCTGCTTGGTTCCCTTTCAGGCTCTCTTTTTTTCCTGATCCAGATTGCTTGTGAAAATCCTCAATATATTTTTCAGTTTCCTGACTTTTGGTGTGGGTCTTCAAACCATAATCTTTCTGTTCACCTTTGGCTTCTGGTTCAGTGTTTCCGTTCTTCAGAGCCAATGGATTTATCACTGATAGTTTTCTCATATCAGTATTGATATTTTCACTGTGCTCTTTGTGGTCTTTGTAGATCGTGTGGGGATCTACGATATGACCAAGTTTTGGTTTCCTCTCTTTACTTCCATCAGCTTCTCTGCTATCCAGATAACAACTAGCTTGAGTAGAACCAGTTTGTCCCTCTTCCTCTTTTTTAAAAGAGGAAGAGGGACAGGTTGATATACTCCTTTCAGCTGACTTGTTGCAATTTTTAGTAAATTTATGTGCTTCATTTTTCTCACCATCCTTTTGATTATTTTCCTTATATTTGTGTTTGCTTTGAGGAACATAACCAGATCCTTTACCAACATGATGCCGTGCAGATCCATCATTCAAACATGCCTCTGTCTCTCTTTTCTGTTCATTTTCATATCTGATCTCACTTTGGTAATCCGTTTTAGGTTTAAAATCATCATTAAGGTTAGCTTGTGTATCTTCAAAGACATTTGCTTTTTGCTTTTTGTGATCATTGACTTGAATCTGATCATAAGCAGGGAGAACAGGTTTTACCTGCTCGGTAGAGTTGGCATCCATTGTGGTTTTGTCCTGAGCATGACTGTTTGCTCTCTCATGTTTTTGTCCCTCATATATCTGTTTATTCTCATCAGACTTTCCTTCAGATGATCCATGTAAATCAATCATGTCATCTGGTATATTAGGTGCAGCATGAACAGGAGGGTTTTTGCTTTGACCAAGTCTAAAACCTCGAGTGTCTGGTTGGTTTTCTTTAGACACAGTTTGCTCCACTGGTACATGATCCCTGCCTTTATGCTGAATAGAGCAAATATCCTTATCATCCCCCTGCTTGGCTTTTCCACGTACCTTGAGGTCATAATCCTCATGTTTTGTAACACCTTGAGTTGTGTTATCATGAAATACTTGGTAATTATTTGGTCCAGCATGTACGTTACTCTTTGCATGAACACATTTGGGGTCTGGATTGGAGCTCCGCATCATTTCTTCCGTTCCTGGATTTTCATAATCAATTAGACAAGACAGTAGAAGAATAAGTTAAATTAAAATTCAGTAGTTATTAATAATACAGCACTGCACAACATATTATCTGAAAATGCAGCAGGTACTGTAATTCTCACCTTTCCTCCTATAAAATAGAAGATAAGCACTGTGGGATCTAGAAGAGAAATGAAGAGAAAGGTGACAATACGTATATAAATGTGAATTAACATGTTTGAAGGCAGAAGCAGAAATTTAAACTCCCTGTGCTGCTACCAAGCTCTTATCTGCAGTTTGGTCCCGTTTTTACCACACAATCCATACAAAATAACAGGAAAAAACAAATATTAAACTTATAAAGCTGATGCTGTTTTTAAGATTTTTCTGGAGAAACTATGTCTGTCTTTGTTCAACAGCAGTGCACTGACAGTGAACTTTGACTCTAATCCTCTCCAAGGTCTTAGTCTGCATCTGTAAACAATAAATCAAGCATTGATTTATCAAACAACAATGAAATGGGACACATTGTTCCAGACTGAAATGTGTTCCAGAAACCACATACATCAAGTAACTGAGAGTATTTAAGGTTTTTCAGAAAAATGCAGATGATTTGTTAGTGAGAGATGCTCGTGTTAAACGATGGAGTTGAAGTCCTAATTGACTTTAGGTAAAGGGGTTGCAATGCCAGATAAATGGTAAAAGGTGAAAATTTGTGATGTGATCTTTGGTGCAGTATAATAAAAGTCATCTCTCTTTAACACTTACTGTACAACATCCACATTGTCAGGAAAAGGACTTTTGCTTCGCTGAAGGAAAAAGAAAAGACATCACATGATTAATTGCTTTTGTCCTGCAATGCATTCTTTCACAACTCGACTGTTGAGCAAAATCTTTTTATGGTGAAGAAAAAGTTTTAATTGGTTTTACCTGCGTGACCGAACTGTCATCAAAGACGAACCATTTGCCTCCTTCATCCTTGGACTTGATTTTTGCGTGATAATGTCCTCCTCTCAGATCTCCAAAATGCTCCACAACTGCATAGAGCTCATACGTCTGATTCTGATCAACATACAAGAATATTAGTCAAAATCAGGAATGAAATTAACAAAACAATTCTGCAATATGACTAGTTCTAAATAAAAACTATATAAAAGATATTTTTCTACCTCTGGAATCCTAATGGTGTGAGGAACATCAGCTTTACAGTGGATTTTGATGTAAGACATGAACTGGTAGCTAAAGTCAAACCTCTTCAGCATCAGAAGCAGAACATCTGGATGTTGAGTTATTACATATTTCTGAAAAAACAAATCAGATATACCTTGTTGCTGAAAAAGATTGCTAAAATATTGCTGTGTTTCAAAATGTATCAAAAAAACTGAAACTTTCTAAATATTCACTCACTCTGGTAGCATCAACTTTAGCATCACAGATTTCACAGTACACCTGGTTATCTCCATTGAATATAGTTGGTGTGAAAAACATATTGATGCCGTTCTCCTAAAAACAGGAAACTGTATTACGTCTACAGGGGGAAAAAATTCTCAAAAAGAAGCACTTAACAGTTAGAAAAGACTTTTGACTGACTTTACCAAGTTATAGGTTCAGACAAGCATTTCTAATATATTTATATGTAAATAATAATTAATAACACTGTAATTTTGATGACAATTAAAGAGATCATATTCCTCCTATTTATCTTCTTTTCATTGGCTCCCGTGTATCCAGCCAAAACTTTTAGTGTCCTTGTTTGGGTTTAAATAGACACAGAAGTTTGTTAAGGTGTTTCAGTAAACAAATATCATCATGTTTGCTATTCATCCAAACTGACTGAGTTTGAGATTCTTTGCAAAGAAGAATCAGAAAATATTTCATCCTTTATACATGCAAAGCTATGAAAACCATATTGTTCTCACTACACAGTTATGAACCATATTTATTGGACTATCAGACAAAAGCACAAAATGTTAAAAAGTTCCATAAGAGAGAACAGTTTTTAAAGCCCTTGTATAGATTAAGAAAGTTCAATTAACCCTATCTGTGAGCTAAATAGGGAAAATGATTGCTCATTCTGAAATAGGCATTTTAGAATCAAATGTTGTAAAGCTCCATGGGATTCCAGCATTTGGATGGTAAAGTGGTGGGTTTGTTGCAGGTACGATATGTTGTTCAGCTTTTCAGGCAGTAAGGAAGTTTAAAAGTAACACCTTGTGATAAAGAGTTCAATAATAAAGCTTGTTATAAGGAAACATGGCAGAAAATTACTGCAGACATACTTTATTTACAGTTAAATTTTAGATGTTAACAGTCAGCGATCAGTTCCTTTACTTTTTTATGGCCCGTGTGGTTTTCAAAGCCGTACTCCAGAGTTTAAATATGATTAAATTACACTTATTTTCCGATATATTTTTCAAAATTAAGCAAGATCCATTTTATGTTGTTCTATTGTGGAAAAACATGTCAGTTTATATGAACTTTAACACAAGTTAAAGTTCAACAGTAACTTGCAACAGTAAAATATTAACTTGTCAGATTCTCACCACGCTGTAGTTTTCACCAGGCGAATCTTCCAGTTCAAGAGGAAGATGCCAGAACGGACCTTCACTGTCAGTCACTGTCTGACAGTTTAAACACTCGGTCCTGTGACTCAGCCGTCCATGAAAGATCTGAAACACACAAACAAACCACATACGTACCATACCATACCAATTTTATTTATAAAGCACTTTATGCACCAACAGGACCAAAGTGCTATACACAATCATAAAATACAATGCAATTATAAAATAGAAAAGATCGAATACATATTAATATACAGACAGAATAAAACAAAGTGAAACATCTCAGACTGTGCCAAAAGCCAAAGAAAGAAGATGGGTCTTAAGAAGGGACTTAAAAACAGCAAGTGAAGAGGCCTTTCTTACGTATGCATTTATAAGCACGCATATAGAGTATATTTACTCTTACGCCTTATATACAGTGTTTGCAACTGGTAAATGTACCTTTGCTGCATTTCCACTGGTCTTCCTTAAGATCCTCTCAAAGTATTCTGCTGCATCTTGCTGCTCACGCACTGGGAGAAGTCAAGACATTCAAAAATGCAGTAATTGACTCAATAAAATAAGACTTGATGAATTATAACACAATTTTGTATTTTAAATTCATAATCATCCATTATGATGATAATTTGAATGCAAAACAATTATAACTACACTTATGACCCATATTATTTTACAATAAAAAGTAAAAAGGAATCTTCCTCTTCAATGTCATACCATTGTTGACTTCTAGAGCTCTTAATATATCATATGGATCTGCTGTCCGGTGCGATAATTCTTCAAACAATTGTCTAAGGTGGTGATCAATGTGCTCCTTACTGGGATTGGTCAATCTAAAACAAAACGACAAATTAATGTCCACTGTGGACTTCAAAATATTCCCTTCACATATAGTAACTGCTACAAACTCTAAAAACCAACCTGATCACAGCTTCCCTGAATTCTTCGGTCATGAACAGAACCTGCAGCACACTGTTCAGGTAGCATGTTGCCCCGTGGTTGTACAAACCGTGGTACTTAGTTTCTGGTGGATTTGGATCGCACATGCAAATGAAATGTCAGACAGTGTTCTGTTATATAAAACGTTGGGTTATACTGTTCACCTCAATAACACAGCAAGTCTATACAAAGTAAGTTTTTTTAAATAAAACATCTCTTGGATACATAAACAGAAATCCCAGGTGATCAGAGGGGTCCAGGAAAATTAAACTCTTTGCCTACATACACAGGCTAGAGAATAAACTAAAACATCATCCCCACAGTGAGGTTGGCAGCATCATGCTCTGTGCTGGTTTTACCAACTTGTTCAGAGCATTATGGAATGGTGGACAGACCTAAATACAAACAAATGCTGCAAAAAAAACCTAGAAGCTAAAAATATTCTTGGGAGTGGGGTGGAGGTTCTCCTTTCAACAGGAAAACAATCCTGAATAACAGCCTTCAAGTTTATTATAAAGCATAGGCTGCACAGTGGCGCAGTTGGTAGAGCTGTTGCCTTTCAGGTTATTATTTCTACAATTCCACCTAATTCCAGTAGTTAGGTGGAATTATTTATCTTCCACCTAACATTTGCACACTGCATTGTTAAAACTCCCAATAAAATACACAGAAGACGTAATGTGACAAAATAAGTTTGAAGGACTATGAGGTACATATAGTGCTAACTATTTCATGAAATGAGGTGGATGGTAATGAGTTACATTTACTATAGTGAATTTTTGGAAAAGAAAATGTTTTATTGGACGTTTGCTTTTTCTTAAGTAATAGTTTTCAGAAGTAACAATTCTATTACTTACGTACAATTTTTCTGTGCATCTGAATTTGTGGAAGGTAATTAATACAGAAAAGCTCACCACTTGTACTGAATGCATTTATGTGTTTATTTTGTGGGAAGGTGTTCTATGATTTTACATAATGTTTAATTATATTATTGCAAACAAATAAATTGGTTCTTATCTTCAGACACTTAGCATTTAAAATCTCCATGTACACCTACTAAATTTTATTTGGGCAATTTTTGTTAATATTTTACTTTTACTTTAGTAATGTATTTGTTAAGTAACGCTACTCTTGCTTGATTAAGACACTTATATCCCACTCTTCTCTTGTCATAATTACTAAGGATATTATAAAGGTTTTACCTGCAGGTTTATTCCACCAGCGATTCATTTTTTTCTTCCACCTGGTGATCCTCCCATCGACAGTGGAGGCTACAACGAAATCGATGAGTCAAATGCAGTTCAAATTTTGGGATAGCAAAAACTCAAACGCAAAAGAAAACAACGAACTTACCTTGAGATTCACACTTTCGTTGACATCCACTGGATATAAAAACCCGAAACTTCTTTTAGACGCTGTCGGACATTGCTTGCACGTTAAAGTGTAACTAAAGCTCTCTAAATACTTTCTGTTTCTCTTCTCATTACGCCCGAGACTATGTTGCATTCAGGGACGGTCGGACATGTTACATAAAAAAAAAAATATCAAAAAAGAAGAAGAAAAATAATCGAAACTTTTTGATTCCATGTTAAAACTCTGACACCCAGATTGTGATTCAGCCTAAATAAAGATTTACTGAAAGACGTGGAAATTACGTCTTAAAAACTTCAGTTTTATTTTAGCTTAAGACAAAATATAGAGTAGAATATAGCAGTATTTCATTTATAACCTCTTTCCCCTTTGAGTAAGACACTGTCTGTCTGTGTTAAGCTCTCTTTAAGACAAGTTTAAACTATTTAAACTATTGTAACTCCCTGTACTTTTCTGGGGGATGTGCAATGCATAGGTTTTTTAATGCATGAAAGTTTTGAACATGTGGATAGCACAGTGATTTGATATAATAATGTGAAGATGCAAGATGGGTCATAGGTCAGATTTCTAGAGGTACTCAGTGAACTATCTCAGACTTTTTGTTGCATCTAGAGAAAGACTTTATTTTATTTTACTTAAGAACACCCACAAACTAAGCTTTATCTCTGAAACATTTAGTTTTCTCAAAGAAAATCTGTATTTCCGGTAGTTTTTTTTGTTTGTTTTCTTTTTACTTCTGAACACTGATTTAAAATCACTAAAAGTCTGCTGAACTGTTTCAACACATTGTTGGAGCTCAAAAAGCACCTGATGAGATTTGGATCCAATGGTGAACATCAGAATATTGTCAACATAAAACTGAAAACTACATTTTGATCCTCTTGCTCAAGTCTGTTTTCTTGCAGTAAATACTTCCTTAGCTATGTTTATGTTTGGTGTAGATTTCTATTATCAGCACAAGAAAAATGACATAAAATTTCATTAAATATGTTTATTTAATGCAACAGTTGAAAACATTTGAACATCCGAAGGTTATTACAAGTGAATACACAAAAAACATTATCAGTATTCTTTTTTTCAGCAGTGATTATGGCTTTCATATTTGTAAACAAGAGTCAGGAGTGAACAGGATTCCCTGCAGATTGTAGCAACGACGGCAGTGAAAGATGAAGACCCAGATGGTCCCAGTTACGCCATCTGTCCTCCAGGAACCTTCAGCACCAGCTGGACGACGGACATGTGCTGGATCCCGTACTCTGACAGCAGCGTAGTGTCTCCTTCCAGGTGCTTGTCCGTAAAGATCAGCCGCAGGTTCTCCTCTCCTGCAAAAACACAAACAAGAAAGCAAACACAGATATCAACAAGGTTTCAAAATAGATTTTATATATATTATAAATAGTCTGTAGTCAAAATTAATCCCTACATTTTTTGGAAGGTTGTTTGTTTGAAGAATGGTAAGAAGTGAAAGTAAAAAATGTGCTGAGGAGACACAATTACTTCCAAACTCAAATCAAAAGCTAATTTAAAAGGTCATGAAGAAGAACAGATAACAAGATTTTTAGACCTTTGTTTTGTTGTTGTAACAGGTGTTTCCACACCTAAACGTTTACTATTAAACAATTAATCTGGATCATTCATTCTCAAAAGTATCAACTTACTGACATAAAATGTTACTTTAATAGATTATTTTCTTTGTATTACCTAAAAAAAAACACCTGCCAGATATTTTTGTAATGAGTGGCTGCTTATAATCTTGGGATGATACTCCTAACAGAGTTAGCATTTAGCAGAGTTAGCATTTAGCATTGACTTAAACTTGAAATTTATGTTGGATAGAAAATTACCTTGATCTTCAGACTATATTGTCATTGACCTACATTCATTTTTTTAAAGTATTACATTCAAAAAATCAGCCAGTTTGATTTGTCTGAATATTCAAGCACTGCAATGTTCCTAATTTTTGACCTAATGGTGCTCAGTGGTCCTGCTCTAAATTAACCTGTTATGTCACCACAGGCGGTTCAGATTTTGTCTATAGACCATAGGTTTAGTAAGTTACACACAATGCAGATGCACTTTAAACACATCAGTTGGCTTATTTATTTATCTGAAACAAACCAGGTAAATAAACCAACCAACAAACCAACTAGTAGGTCTTGAACTGCTGGGTATTAATGATAGAGTTAATACTGAGCTCTACCATTACAGCACTGATAAGCCAATAAGAGAAAATATGAGTCACCATGAAATTTACTTTCAATTTTGATTTGCAAGCAAAGTATGGTCTTGAAAAACATGTTTGTTATTGAAGGGTCAGGTACTTCTGAATTGGGTAAACATATTATTACTTAACAACCTACTTTATTTTACAAAAACGAGCATTAATCTGTCTTCATGGCCACTTAACCCAACCTGTCGATCAAAAAAGTCGATAAAGTTGAAAAGAAGTAGCTTTCGTCCTGCTGGCACACAGATAGACGTAGAGAAAGTACACCCAATATATTGAACAGCTCACCGCCTCCCAAATTAATTCTGCCATTACTGAGTCACGTTGCCTTTTGAGCTTCTCTTTAGTTACCTGCGGTCTGAGGAAGTTTCTCAGCGATCTTTTCCTTCAGCTGTCGCACCGTCATTTTCTGCATCTGCTCCTCGGTGTTGCAGAGGTCAATCATCAGTTTCTCTCCTCTGAGTCCATGAACCACGACCTGGTAGATTTTCCCCATCTTCCTGCAATCTGCGCTGCGCTGCGCTCCTGTCTGGTTCTCTGTCCCAACAGCTGTCAGAAATGCGGGCAAACAGCAACAGGATCTGACGTCAGAGCAGTCTTTACTTTCTATTTTCTGTTTTGCACAAAGCAGGACTCTTGCTGTTCTTATTCTTTCAGTTTTTCCTTGTAATTATCTTCTCTCACATGACCTGCTGGTATCAGCAGGTTGGTATATTTTGAGAAGCACATTCAACACAATACTGCACTTTAATCTCCTAAAGTGTGGGAGATTAAAGATGATAATAAAAATTGAATAAATAAAATACGTACATCTGACCAATGGCAAAATAAATAAATAAATTAAAAGACTTTTTATACTGATACACCTTAATAATTGTGTTATGTAGATGATGTTCTGCGATTATAAATCGCAGATTTTATAGGGACGATTAATTGCAGGAAATCACCTTGTTTTCCGGCAGAGATCATGTGATGTGGCTGTGGTTATTTGCAAACTCTTTACATTACATGGTTGCTTCTCAAACTATGAAAAAAAAAATTGTATAGTAATTTTATTTATTACTTGTGCTGCTTTCGACTATGGCAGAGAGAAAAAGCAGCAGATGTTTTAAGTTATAAGGGCCACATGTGTCACTTTTAACTGGAATCACTGCAAATATAGTAAACAAAACTCAATAATGTTGTTAAAATTGTATTGACAAGTGAATATAAAATTAATTCGGTTCATAAAAGGTTTTAACTTTCTTGTGTGTTGTTCTTCATCATCACTGGTTCGTCTTCATCAGTGCCAATTAAAATGCACGAAGAAAAACAAAAGAGAGAAACTGAAAGTAAACAACAGCTGGCTCTGAAAGTGACGCAGCAGCAGCAGCAGCTCCATTAGGGCACATCTTTTGGCTGCAGACGGACAGAAGTTGGTTCAAGTCGAGGAGCAGAGCAGAAACAAAATGACCACGCAGGGCCACGAAGAGAAAAGATACGACCCCAGAGACACGACGCTGAAGTTCGTCAACAGACCTGATGCTCTGGATCCGATGCGTGAGAACCTGTTAACTGTTATTGTGTTGGTGCTGAAGTGACTTTGCTTATTTCCAAAGAAACGGAAGGAGCGTTTTGTTTTAGAGACCTTAAAAACACTTACATGCAAGTCAGTGGGTACATGAGGACACCATGTGTCGTCGTGACAGCTAAAAAAAACAAGATGGCATATTATTATTATTATTATTATTATTATTATTATTATTATTATTATTATTATTATTTGAGTCTGTTCTCTGCTCTGTTAAGCCCCAGACGAGGGAGATCAGTGTCTCCGGGCGGAAATGTCCTGCGGTCACGCTGTCACCCCGCAGTCCCTCACTGGGTGGTGTCGCAGCCTGCTGGATCAGGTACTTTCCAACAGTTAAAAATTTACTTTTGTTTTCTCACTAGCACATGTATTGTTGAAGAGAAGACTCTGTGCAAAGATCCAGCATAAAGTCCAAGATGAGACATGCAGCCCAGTTTTATGTTGTGGGCCATAAACTGGGCCAGTGTACCATATTTCAACAGTATGACTTACTGTCAAAATAATGATTTTAATTAGGCATTTCTTTATTTTTTTCAACAATAATCAGTTCATATGATCCATCATTACAATATAACCAATACAAGACATAGTAAGGATGCTCATATTTAATGTTATAAAGCTAAGAAAGATGTATTGCAAGTAAAATGTCCACTGAAATTATCCAGCAATTTTAATGCAGTGCTTTATTTTAATTTACTTCAATCCAATTCTCTTCTCAACCTTCATCTTAATTATCAAATTTAATTTATGGTTGAATGTTGGTGGCAAACAATGCAAGAGAGAAGATTTTAAACAGTTAAAACAAACAACAAATGACAGCAGATCTATGGTGCCTTGAATTAGAGGCTGGTGCTGAAGAACCTACAGTTAATATCCAAGTTAATCATAATCCATAACAATAGAGTTGTTGTTTTTTATTTTAACATGTTTCTTACTGTAATATGTTCTGTAGTGGACTAACCAGAGATCCAAACTGAATCTAGGACTGCTGTAGGAGACCAAAGAGACGCCCACTCACATTTTGTATGTTCTCATCAGGACAGGAATGCTTAGCAAGCTCTTAACAACCAGCATTAAAATATATTTTAACCTGAGGTGTAGATTTAAGTAGTTTTCCAGTAAAATTTGTCAAATGTCACTGAGTACAACACAAATCAAATTTATAAACTTGACATTAAAAATCAGAGAGCTGCTCAGTGGGACTGTGAACTCTTCACTCATCAAATTCATCTTTCAGGATGTTGTGCTGTGCAAAACTAGATGGATTAAGTGCATGTAA